GGCAGGCACACCCCAGGTAAAGAGCCGGACGCCAGAGTCCCTGAGCTGCTGTAACTGTGTTTATTGATGGCCGACTTCTGGTGAAGCCGGCGGGGGAGGGGCACGAGCGAGAACAATGGAATGTGTGCCTTTGCTCCGGTCTCGTGGAGCTTTCCAGGCGAGGAGGGCGGGCGGGGCCCAAACACACGACCCCCCGGCTCCCCAAGGTGGGGGAAGGCCGCCAGGGGGCCCTGGGGTGACAGGCACACGCGCAGAGGACTGTTCTCCCGGACTCCGGACCAGTGCAAACGACTTAGTGCAAATAATGTTGGGGGGAGACGGAGTCCGGAGGGGGGGTCTCCTGCGCAAAGAGAGGAAGGAAGAAAAGTGGGGAACTGGAGAGGGGTGAGGAGAGAGAGAGAGAAAGAACGACAGAAGAGAGGGGAGGGGGTGGCGTCGTGCCGGACCACGAGCCGCTTGTCCAGGGCAGGGTGGTGGCCGCGGGGTTGGAGGCGCTGGTGGGCGGTGCTGCTGCAGGTGGCTCCCAGGATTCCTTGTCTTCAACTGCGGGTCAGAGTGGAGAGTTGGCAGGTGGCCGGGGGCGGGTTGGGGGGGAGGCAAGGGCGGCCCCCCAGGCTGCTGGCCTTACCTATGGAGTCAGCGGAGGTTGGGGTGGAGTTGCGGTTCGGAATGGATGCGTGAGAGCGGAGTTCCAGGCCCAGACTTGAGCTGGGTAGCACCGTTTCTGCGGAAGCGCAGGGTGGGGGATGAGGCTCCTCCCGCTCTGGCTCCCCAATTTTGCCAGAGCCCAGACCTAGGAGAGCCCCGCCCCACCTTGTCAAAGAGAGTTCTGGAATCCTAAGAGCCGGTGGTGTGGACTCCACAGTAAAAGTTCTGGAACCCTGGAAGTGCGGCAGCATGTCCCGCAGCCAGCTGAGAGAGAGAAAGGGGCGGTGGAGGGGTGAATCCCCCATCCCCCCCTCCCCCGCAGGCCTGCTGGCCCAGGTGGGGAGCTCACCTGCCAGGAAGGCCGGACGTCCTCTCCTGTGCTTCTCTCATCACTCCGGACCATGTCACAGCTTTCTCATCCTGTCAGCCCGACCTGGGCCCGGCCTTCGTGGTCACTGGCCCTCTCCTCCACTTCCCTGGAGACCGGACTGTGGGCAGAGGGGGGTAGGGGTGTTGGGTGGGTGCCAGAGGTGGGCGGGAGCTGAAGGGGGGCGGAGTGTCTTCATCCTCACCCTGGTCTCCAGGTGCTGTGCATGTTCCGCCAGCGTCTGCCCCTTCTGCTCTGTCCCCGCCGGGGCCCGCCTTGGCCCCAGGCCTGCAGAAGGTCCCCATGGCCTGCCCCCTGCCGTGTCCAACACCCCTCCCCTGAGCCCCACTCACACTGCCCCGCCTACCTGGCCTCGCCTGGTCTCGCTGATGCCCTTGACTCCCCTGAATCTGTCCTGTCCTAACTTTCAACCCCACGAGCTGAGCGGCGAAGACCCCAGTGTCAAGAGAGGACACTGAGATCCGCCCCACGCCAGCCCCTGGGTCGCAGTGGCGCCCCGCAGAACGGGACCGGGTCCCCCCTGCAGTTGTGAGGCAGAAGGATCCCTAGGGACCCGGCCACGGTCCACTCCTGGTGTTCTCCCTGGCACTGCGCCCTCTGTCCCCTTTCTCCTGCCCTCGAAGCTCCCCCAGGAGCCCCCCCTGTCCTGCTTCTTCAGATGAAGACGGTGGGTGAGATGCTGCGACAACTAGCTGGCCCCCTACGTGCCCTCTGCCCTCTCCAGCCCGGCCCATCCTGCTCCCGCACGCGCTGGGTCCCTGCTTCTTGCCTGCTGCCCTCCAGGGCCACCAATCACGTCCCTGGCAGCTGCAGCGGCCTACCTTGTCCTTTCTAGTGCCCTTTCTACCTGGGGCGGCCGCAGCCCCCCAGCCTGCCTCCCTCGGCTCCCCCCGAGGAGATATCACCTGTGCTGCCTCTCGACCTTCCACGCTGCTCTGCAGGGAGGCTGGCCGCCTCCTCACCAGCCCTGGGCCCGAGTCCCCGTCCACCAAGAGACTACTGGACCGAGGCCTGGAGAGAAATGGCCAGCCGACCCTGCTGCCCACCCCTGGCCCGGGTCCGGGCTGGACCCTCACTCAGCTCCCCTGAGTCCAACCAGCCGCCACATCCTGAACCAAAAGTGACCGGGGTGAATGCCTGGCTCCCCCTTCTCCTGCCTCAGCCCCCTTGGGCGCCCCCGCGCCCCCACCTGCCTCGCTCCTGCCAGACTCCAGGATTCCAAGGTGCTCCTTGGCCCACATGCTGCCTGACCTCCTGCCCAAATGCTTCCCTTGTTCCCCCCAGTACCCCACGCTTCCCTGGTTACCCCACGGCTCCCCCGCTTCCCCAAGTTCCCCCACCAACCCAGCCACCCTCACCCATCCCACCCACCTCCCCCCACCCGCACCCTGCTCTCCCAGCCCTAGCCCGGGCTTTTTCTAACAGCCCAGGCCCCGCCCCAGGGCCCCGCCCCCATGCAACTGGCCAATCAGGCAGGGCCAGCCTTGGGGCCCCAGCGCGGGTCCCACCTCCGCCAGATGTTCAAGCCATGTCCCCCCTCCACCTTCCCGTCCGGAATTCTCTCAGACCTCCTCCCTCCCCACCCCCCTCCGCCCTTGGCACCGTCCACAGCGCCCCCGCCCCTGCTCCCAAGGGCAGACTCAGCACCCTGAGAACGTAGGAGGCAGCTGAGGGCCCCCGGTGGGAGGGGGGCGGGCAGCGGTGAGGGCCCAGCGCCCTCTGACCCTGGAGGGCTCAGACGTGGGGTCTCCCGTGCAGAGAGTGGGTGAGGGAAATGCCGGGGTGTCAGTGGGCCACCCCACTGTGAGATGCTAAACTCCTGGCTTGAGGGGCACCCTGGCTCCCAGGGACAGTCCCGCAGACCTCTGGACACCGCTCATGAACTGCCCTCGCAGGACAGCGGCGTCTGCCTGGTGGGTCACCTGGGCCCTGCCACCCTCTGGGGTGTGCATCAGCTGTGGGGACCTGCGACCGAAGGGTTTGCCGCCCGTGGACTGCAGGGTGACGTGGGCACAGGCACTTATCAGAGATGTGGCTCAAGTCCTGGGTGGGGGACACACATGCTGGCTCCCACTCTCCGAGAGCTGCTGAGGACCACGGAGCCCTGCCCCGGGCGGACCCCCAGACCTGGCCCCGGGTGGACCTCCGGCTGACATGCAGGCAGAAGTCTGGACTTAGCCACCAGCGGACCTGCGAGGCAGCTCTGCCCTGCGCTATGGCTGGGAGCTGCCCTGCCGCCTCGGGGTCACTTCTGTTCTCCACTCCCAGGACCCTGCGCCCTGAGACCCGGGCGGGAGTCTGCCCTGCGGTGCACCCCGAGGTTGCTGAAGCCCCCGGGTGGAGTCAGGCGATGCCCAGACCCCAGTGCTGGGTGGTGGTCTCCTATCGGGGTTCCCTCTGCAGTGGGACCCCCGTGCAGGACCCTCTCACCCAGATTTCTGCTCGTGTACCCGGGGCATGGATGTGAGGTTGGGCTGGGCACCCCAAATTTTGAGGTTCGGTGGGGAGACTTTGCTGCTGTGCGCAGGGTGCTGGGAGGAGCCAGGCACCGAGCCGGGAGTGGGCTTCCAGGCACTAGTGGCCCCGGGCAGGGGAGAGTCCAGGAGTGCACTAGGGCAACTGGACCCGGCCACGGAGCTGGCTTACCACACAGACCTCGATGCTGACTGACTCCCTCTGCCCACCCCACCCCCACATTTTCGTGTCCCCAGGGGTGACCAGCAGGACCCGAGCCCTCGGCACCGCCCCGTCTCAGCTTCAGAAACACTGAGTGACTGGGGCTCTCCCTGAGAGCCCAGGGAGCCCTGGAGGCAGTGGTGGGCTTGATAAAAGTCTAGGTTTGGGGGAGCCGGGGCCTTGGGGTTGGGGGTGAAAAGCCTAGGGTGACGGGCAGTCCTTGGAGTGCAGATATGGCACTAGGAGGTAGTGGGAAGCGGCTGGGAGCCGTCCGGAGGACTCCCCAGCACACTGCTGCGCCCGTAGGGTCGGACTTGTGCAGGGACTGCCGCCTCGCGGCCACTTGCATCCCGACACCCATAGGCTCACGATGAACCGAGGGAGAGCCGGGAGATCTTGGGGTCGGGCACCACACCCAAGGGAGGACCCCTCACATCCTCCTGCTTGATGTGGGCAGGTCCCCACAAAGAGCGCACCCAAGGGAACGCGTCTTTGTTCGCGCGGACATGGAGTCCGGCGTGGAACGCCTCGAGTGGGTGACACCCTCGGTGATCACGATGGATGGGATCCCAAATGACCCTTCATGAAAACGGGGGTGTTGCTAGGACCTCAGAGGCAGTGGGTGTGCCTCAGAGCGGCACCAGGCACAGCAGACCCTCGCGAATCACTTTGTCGCCCACACGTGGTTCCATGGATCCTCGTGAATCACTTAGTCTCACGCACCTGAACCCTCTGGATCCTTGGGAACCAGTTTGCACCTACATCTGGTCTCCATGGATCCTCGTAATTGTGAATCGCTTTGTCACCCTGCAGAAGGACTGAGGTACTGCCACGTCAGCACTGACTGTCAAGCGTGGAATCGTGGTCTCCGCTGCCGCCTCGCGGCCACTTGTGTCTCCACACTCACCACCCGGCACTATGTAACGCGGGAGGGAGCCCCAAAAAACGGGGTCAGGCCTCATTCCCAAGAAAGCACCGCACACACCTTCCCGTGTGATGTGGACGGGACCCCATGGAGAGCTCCCCCAACGGGGAAGCCCAATTAGAGGGGTGTCAACAGTGCTCCTGCCTTGCACAGTACTGGCCTGACCCAAGCGGGGCCGCTGGGGTAGGATGGGGGGAGATTATGCCTGCCTCATCCATTAGCATCTCAAACACTGAGTGAATGGAGTTGTCAATGGTGGGGATTGTCAATGGTGGGGAGTGCAGCGCCCGGAGTCAGGCGGGGATGGGTCAATAGGCTGTGATTCTGCACAGTTTTGCACTTACGGGCATGGAGCTCAGCGTGAGAAGTTTCAAGTGGAGGCACCCAGTGTGACCATGATGGATGGAACCCCAAACGACCCCCCGTGGGTGTTGCTGTGGCCGTGGGAGGGAGGGAGTGGGTGTGTCACAGAGCAGTGCTAGGCACAGTGGATCCTCATGAATCACTTTGTCACCAGCCCTTAGTCCCCGTGGACCCTCGTGAATCACTCGGTCACCAGTCCCTGGAAATCCTCGTGAATCACATTACCACTCGCACTTTCTCCCGGTGGATCTTTGGGAACCACTTTGCAGCGACACCTGGTCCCCGTGGAGCCCCAAGAATCATTGTGTCACCCTGGAGAAGGACTCGGGACTACAACAGTGAGCACTGACTGCCCAGCGTGGAATCCTGGTCTCGGATGCCGCCTTGCGGCCACTTGTATGTCCACACTGACCGCCCAGCACTACCAACCACGGGAGGCAGCCGCAAAAAAAAAAACTGGGGTCAGGCCTTATTTCCAAGAAAGCAGCGCACACATCCTCCCACTGGATGTGGACAGGACCCCAAAGAGAGGTCACTTGGCGGGAAAGCCAGCTGGAGCGGTGGCAACTGTGGCCCGCGTGGCGAGCACTGCGCAGATGTGGTGCGGGGCCACCGGGTTGGACTGGGAGATTTCACCGCCCCGGTCATTAGCATCTCAAACACTGAGTGAATGCTGCTCCTAATGGTAGGGGCGCGGTGGGGCGTGCAGGTCCCTGGAGTCAGTCACAGGCTGATACATAATAAGCTGCATTGGGGGAATCTTGCACTTGTGGGCGTGGAGCTCGGTGTGGAAAGACTCTAGTTGGGGACACCCTCTGTGATGATGATGGGTGGGACCCCAAATGAGGCCTCATGGGTACTGGGGTGTTGCTATGGTCACACAGGAGGTGCCTGTATCTCAGAGCAGCACC